TCGTTTTCCCTCGACCAGACTATCAGAATGATGCTGTCGAGAATTATCTTACTAACCATACTCCACCGTACAAATCGTTCGATTTTATTGCTGGAAACTTGACAGGTCTTGACAGGATAGACTACAACACGGTTCAGGACAATTATCCCGGTGGCCAGTATAACCGCATTGGAAGGGGACAGCCAGACGTTTCGGCGAATGGCGCCTACGTTGCCAATTATAGAGCAGGTGTTGTCCACACCACCTCTGGCACGTCGGCATCAGCGCCTATCTTCGCTTCGATTGTATGTTCGTTTCCATACCTGCATGATGTGACCCCAATATGCTAACTAAGACTTCCTTCAGATCAATCGCATAAACGAAGAGCGTCTTGCGGCTGGCAAGGGAACCGTAGGCTTTGTGAACCCAGTGCTGTATGAGAACCCGCAAGTCTTGAATGATATCACGAACGGGACCAATCCTGGGTGTGGTTATGAGGGCTTCTCCGCTTCTGAAGGCTGGGTAAGTTCATCTGATCGATCTTGATACACTTGGCCACGAAACTGACAGGCGAATCCAATACAGGACCCTGTCACTGGACTGGGCACTCCGAACTATCCCAAGATGTTGGAACTTTTCATGAGTCTCCCATGAGTGTCTCAAACGAGGTTGGATCCGTGTACTTTAGTTTGTACTTACAAGTGTAGTAGCAATGGCGTCTGTAGTTAACAACATATGCCAAGCGTTAATATGCATGAACTCATTTAGAGTCCCCGAATCGGGTGTTCTCAATCTCGTGATCTACATTCATCTCTCATGAATTGATTTTATCCGAGCTTTCCGGAAGGGGTATAACCGTCTGAAGCATCTCGAGAATTAGTGTATATGTCCATATCTGTTTCTCGAACGCAGGGAAAAGGCAGACAGTTCTCCTGATTCAAATCACATGCTGATCGCTTAACGATTCAATTGCGGCGTGTGAAACACGTCTACAACGCTATAATAAAGACATTGTCTTGTACAGAGAGCGCGGCGAATCTGATTTCATATGAACCCCTGGGCAATACCACCTCAACCAGGCTGCCCGTATTCATGCTGCAATGATTCTCTGATTCTTCTGATGTTATTCACATGTGGATTTCCTACGCCGGGTTACGAGAACAAAATGTCTATTGTCTGCTTGTTGAAATTATCTTCTCACTCTTTCTATCTTCTGCGGTGTACTTATTTGTCTTAGGCCATCATAATCGTCCCACTCAGGCTCATGCCTGCGCTGGCAAATGGCTTCCAACGCTATCACAGTGAGCGACCTCATCAAAGCCAATTTCATGCACAGGCTCAGTATCTAGCAGTATAAACATGTCAGCTGATACAAACGCACTTGAGCATCACTCCGATGAAGCCAACTTGCAGTGTCACCCATGAAACAAGACAAATTCTCAAGACAACTGTCGGAGCACGCTAGCCATTAAACTATTTCCAAAATCGCTCTGAGGAGCTTGATTTAGCATGAAGGTCGTCTTGGGGAAAGGTATCATAAAGTCTAGTATTACCTAAGTGCGCAAGTAATGCTGCCCTTCATCCCCTCGCTCCCTTGGTGAACTTGACCAGGCCTTCCAACCAATCTTGGTGTCCATTGAGTATAGGATTTGGCTTTGTCGCTGCCAGTTTGATGGCAGGTTTGCCAATCTGTGATTCCTGGGTAAGGATCCGAGCCCGACCTTCATCTAGGTCCTCCACAATCCACGCATGATAGACATCCATGCTATTTTCTTCGTCGCCTGCAACCCAAGCAAGCCACGCAAGTCTGCCGGGCGCCCCCTGTGAGGGCGCAACCGATTCCTGGACCTCCGCCGGGAGAGGAGGAAATCCGAACGTTGAGAAGGTAAACTTGTCTCCTTTTCGCAGCATGGGACCAGTGCTAGGGGGCGTGATTTGACTGGCATTGTCGTAATAAAGCTCCCATTTCGTGATGTTTGCAAGGTTTTCCCAGACTTGTGCTGCTGTTATGCCACTGGTGATGACTTCGTTCGAAGTGTAATTGTCAGTGGTGCCAGGAAGGAATATCCGGGGCCAAATAACATGCGCCGGCATCCTGACTAGCGAGCGCGTTTGGAACTATCTCTCGCCCTCAACAAAAGAGGAAGTGGATTTTATGTTTTCTTCTTTGCCCGAAAGTCCATTCAGGGTCGGGGTGCGAATGTCTGGTGAGGCCTGATTCGTCATCCACGCCAATCAGCTGCAGTGTCACGTGGTTTCGAACAAACTCACCATGCATTGGCCCATTTGCGGATCGTTCTACCGTGGCCTGTACAATTGAAATTCACCGGGCTTCAAAGGCAAATCACTTCGTCTCTAAGGTCCCCGTGATTCATGCAGTTCCATTGAATATCATTCAGACAGGGAAGTCGCAGACAATACAATACTCAGCCACAAATCCTCATGCAGACGCCACAGCAATGCTCGTCCAGGTTGCTACGTGCCCCCACGCCGAGCTGACGGGAAGCTGGAACGAGCTGGACGAGCTGAACAAACCCAGGCTCGATTTGGTGTTGCGAGATATTTGACCCGCTGTAGTCTAGTCATCTTGTTCGGCGCTTTGGAAAGTTCGTGTTCCTCCTCGATTGCTTGCGATGAGCAGTATTGACGAGCACATTTTGACAGGCTGGATGTCTCATGCCTGTGGACGTCGCGCTTCAGACTCACCCACTCCCATCTAAACCTAAAGGGCGGGTTTAAACCATGAACTCATCAAACTTCACCTTCAACTTCGGTAGCAACCATGCGCAGCCTGCTTTCAATGGAGCACCTGCACTCGACAATGAACTTTGTCAATTCTGCGAAGAGATGGTGAAGCAATCCAAGATCATCCACCAGGCACCAAAATGGGAACACCCAGCAACCGGCGACGATGATGTTGAGGTGGTGGTGATTGAAGAGCCGCAGTATACTGACAGCGGGGCTCCGAAGGTCGAAGTATTCGCTCATCATAACACCCTGGGAGCTCTGAAAGCCTCAGCTAAGCAGTGTCATCTCTGTGCTCTCCTAGGCGCATACGATCCAGGCTTCCCACAGCTTGTCGATGACGCATCGAATAGCATGCGCTATACCATGAAGGTGCTACGGGCTGATTTGCACGCCGATGGGCCGGGATTGCTCAAAGTAGATCTGAGGAGAGGGAAAGAGACAGGCGCGACTTACCTCATGAACGGGCGGCCTAGGCAGACTTCACACACGACGCTCGTTGCCGGACGGACTGATGACTTCAAGGTTTTGAGCCTCGCAAAGGAATGGTTGAACAAGTGTATACATGAACACGATCAATGCAGTCGCCGCTCACATCCGACTGCTGCCTGGCATCTCCCGACCCGACTCGTGAAAGTATCTGGGTTCATGACGAGTGTGTTCTCGATGAAACTATGCCTCGGGAAAGATCTTCCAGCAGGCACGAAATATCTCACATTGAGTCACTGTTGGGGAGGCGTCGACATCCTCAAGCTAACAACAGATAATCTGCAGTCATTCCAGTCCAACATCCCGCTCGAGAATATGCCACGAAACTTCAGAAATGCGGCCGCCGTCACGCTCTTTATGGGGTATGAGTATGTATGGATTGACTCTCTCTGTATCATACAAGGCTCTGTCCAGGACTGGGATCACGAAGCCGCATTGATGGGGAACGTATATCGATATGGCGTGTTGAACATCGCTGCGGTAGCTGCGACGAACCCGCACGACGGAATCTTCGTAGACAGAAACTCGCATTCGTTCACCAAGTGTCAGCTTATCCCCACCATACGAGGACGAGGCGGAGTGTATGCCGAGAATTGGCGCGATAGAGCGGGCAAGGAAATTCTCAATTCGCGAGGATGGGTCTGTCAAGAGATGGCTCTATCGCCACGCACTTTGTACTTTGGGTCTATGATGCTCGGCTGGAAGTGCACCATGGCATCTGCGCAGGAGACCGACGCAGATTTTTCGACGTGGTCACAGAAACCGGGCATCAAACGCGACTTCTACGAGCTGCTTGATCAAGCGAAGAGCGGCGCCTATGACAGCTGGTTCGGCAAGTGGTGGAAGATCATTTCTGATTACACGAAGTGCAACTTGACCTTCGATTCGGACAGATGGCCAGCGATCATGGGTCTTGCGACAGCAGTCGAGCAGCAGTCTGGTGACAAGCTGATACATGGGTTGTGGGCATCGCATCTGGCCTCGGAGTTGATGTGGAGGGCGTCTAACCCATCGAAAGGAAAACTACTTGATAATGGCTGTCCATCGTGGTCATGGCTGAGTCTGACATCGCCGGTATCCAAGATGGGGTACAATCTCAATGGGTATTTCGACATGAGCGCTGCCGTCTCCCTACAAACACACCCTCCCGATGACAAGAGGCTCTTCATACGAGGACGAATGGCGAAGATCAGATGGACGGTCAAATACCACGGTGATGGAGAAATTGAACACTGCTACCGTTTTCAGGCTCCTACAAGAGATGCAAATGGAAATTGGGACGGACGTTGGAATCCTGATACGGTCCCGAATGAAGCTTGGGATATGTGGTGTCTTGAATTCATCACTGACGCAAAGCTCAAAGAGGCCGCTGGGCTTGTGGTCAGACGAGAGGAGAAAGACACAGGCGATGTGTGGGTCAGGGTAGGCACATATAGCCTCCAGCCATATGCAAGCCGTGGCGATGACCCAGCTTGGGATGTCTTGAAGATGAATACGATCACGTTAGAGTAAGGAAGGTAATGGCAAAACCACGACACCTCTGGAATGAATCGTGTCATGATCGGATAGGGAAATGTAAGATGGAACAACCGAGCAACCTACCCGGGACCGATTGAGGCCGCTTCCTAGGTACAGTGGCGGTGCACACTTGAGTCACATGTTTCCTCATCAGAAGTCTGCGAGTTGAGTCACCGGCCGCAACCATTGACCAACATGCATAAGCAACATCGCTGAAGCCCAGATCCACAACAACATATCAGAAAGCCAGAACTGATGGTCAGTATCTAGGGCACTTGGTCGAATGGGAAGACAGCAGGAAACCTTGAGTGGGACCTGCAGGCCTGGGTTCGATCCCCAGAGTGTCCAATTTTGTCTTTTTTTTTTGGTCGTTGACTCATGATATGAATATTTCGAATGAACGCACCAAAATATAGGTAGATCACTCGACATATCAAATTTATGCCCGTGTTTGATATAATTTCGAAAATTGTCAGGCCAGCGTCCCGGTCGGACAGCTTGAGCTGCCGATGGCCTGAGCGTGCCCTAAGATCACTGTGTCACCGAGTAGTCGAGGTCACAGCAATGCTGCGTGTTTTGCAACATGAACCAAGTCAGCTTTCGAAATCGCTGTCGCAAGGTTGTTGAGAGTTGTAATCAGTATATCTGCATGTTGTATACCTTAACAGCACGGAATCTAAGTACGCCGAACACCATTGCCAATGCATACGCTTCGAGTCTGGGCTGCATCGCCGCGCGTTTGAAAAAGAGCTCGCCATTGTCCCAAATCCATCTCAAAAGCCGGGTACGCATGGCTGTTCATGCCAAACGTCAATCCCGGATTCTTGTGTTCATAACCCGTCCGAAGGGCGCCTGTTGTCGCTCGTATGGTATCCGTAACCCCCCATCATGCCCTCTATGTGCACAAGCGACCGGTGATAAAAGTGCCAAGGAATACCCCGGCCAAGATGGACAAAAAGTATCCGACATTCAATGTCATGACTGCCAACATGCTATTGGCGAATAGGGTGATTAGCGACATGCCAAACACGCACGAGCATTGACGTCTTGACTCACAGTAGATACCCGATACCACTGATAAAAACCTCGAGGAGAGATCGACCAGCCTCTCGGGTGAAATTGAACGGATGCCGATGGGAAGCTTCGCGCAATTGCCGTCTCACGTCGCCCATGTGCGGTGGACGGGTTCGTTGGGACATCAGAGACTCCTTGTCGTCGTGGATGTGTCTGTTGGAAACCAGATTGATGTTGCGGTCAAAGGCGATAGTGCGTAGCAAGATGAGAAATTTGTGTGTTGTCGCAAGCAATATCAAAAAAATGCAGGTCGCGACGTATGCGCCCTCGCCCTTGGGCGTCCAAGCATTCGACCACAAGGGCGTCGTGAAGCTCTTGAAGAATGTCATGGACATCTCTGACGCCATCATCATGTCGCCATCGTCCATCGAGTCCGACATGGAGCTACTGCCCATGTCCGAGTGATGCTGCGTTGTAGGCAGCATTTTGTCAGACCCGATTTGTGGTTGTGGGAAGCTGAGTGTTGTGATGCGTTGAGTAGTTGTTTAGTTCTGAGGCAGGAATGTTTTGGTATCGAAGTTGATTGAAAGGTGTGAGGTCACCAGCAGGCAGTAGGGGAGTCGGGTGGAAATGGGATATGGTACCAGTTTACAATCGATTGAATGTGAGTTGAATTAAGGTTATCTGGAATGCTGAGCAGATAGTCATCAAGTCACGATGATCGAGGTCAGAGCAAGTTTGCGAAACCCATCCGTGTATTGTTCAACACGGAGGAACCCCCACCCACCCTTGTTCGCTCTGCAGCCGTGGGCAGACGCCGCACCGCATCTGCACCAGAGCTGCACGGCATCCACGGGTCCTACCCACTCCAGGCCTAGCGGTCACCCTGAGCTGTCACTTTCTATCCAGTCTTCCATGGCGAGTCAAAAGAAAACATGCTCAAATAAACTCTCCAGGAGTCCGAATTATGTCTTGGATGCAGTGTCTCAATATGTCAGCGGTCGAAGACGTATGCTCTGCACACGCTCTCACAGAAAGAGATTCGGTGCTTGTAGTTCCGCGGTGTTCCTCGATCTACATTGACTTGCTTAGTAGTACCGGATAATCAAGGCGCACAGTTCAAAGCACACAAAGTATAAATGCTCCTAGATCCCCTCATTTCGTTTCCTGCTTTGAGAGTGTTCTCGTGGCCTCAATACGTGTACACTGGCGCTGGTAAGCAGAGTCCCTTACCCACAAGCCACAGGTTCGTCTGCAAAGGAGCTGCATTTAATCTGCTCAAATGCACTCAATGGCGGGGTTGGCGGGGCAGAAACGGCTCTGAGAGCCCCCACCTGCGGCAGAGCAGCGGTATCGACAGCAGGGATACGGATGTATAGGCGCATCCACCGCCTGAGCCGCAACCTCTTGACTCTTGGCAGGCTTTCTAGACTTCGAAGCAATTGGTTCCTGGGCGTTTCCGACGCCTGGGGTGGGCAACCCCCCCGGGAGGACCCTGCTCAGAAACTTGCTCAATCCCTCTCGTTCCAACCCTGATGCGGTAATCTGTGGACTTGCTATCTGACCACACCTTATTTTCATGAGACCAAGTCGCCGGCTCGCCAGCCTCGAAACACCTCCGCGCCAACACTCGGCCGGTTTCGAATACGTGAAAATACGATGGGATGTGTGCATCGCCTTGGTACTGTCTACCAAGAGGGCCCGGTGAGCGTCTCAGGACTATCAGGTAGTCCACCTCCCACCGCCAAACTTCACGCCGTTTCCGCACCGGCCACTAGTATAGTTGCATCCGCAGCTGTGGGACAACATGATGTTTTTATCACTCGCGGCGTCGATGAGCAGGCGATAGGACGCAACATAATCGAGTTGCAGGCGCACTTTTCGTGTAGAGCTGGGGTTCCAGATCCATGCCACATCATACATGAGAAGGTTTCTGCTTGTGACTCGTGAGTATTGGACTTGCTCGTTGAATCCGCTCCAATGACGAATCAGAAATGATCCTCTGCCCCAATCCTATCTTGTCTACCATCCAGCACATATTACAAGTACATACTTGGAGTCCAGTTGATTAGTCTCACAATTTCCAAATATTGCTGTGTGTCTCTTAATCAATTTTAAACTGGCCTCGCTCGAACCAGCTTCACAGCACTCAGCCCTATCTTGGCTACCCAAGACAACCGTTCCCTATTGATTGAGCAAAAGGTGCATCTCGCCGCCCAACGCGGGTAGGGTGCTCACCATGAAGGCCTCCACCGCTTTCTCCCTCCTTCCTGTCCTTCATGGCGTTCACTTTGCCAGCGCAGCAATGGATGCTGCTGTTGGCAAAAATGGCATCGTTGGATTTGGTATCGAATTGTGGCCCGACTTATGTTGCGCCTCATGCGCCGACTCACTATCCGCCCTCTATCTGAGCTGTACGAGCTTCGCAAATGGCACCACAGCGGATTCTGTCATGGACGACATGGATGATATGGACATGGACGACATGCCTTCGACCAGCGATGACTGCCGAGCAACCAATACACCGTGGCTCCAGTCCATGGCTTATTGCATTGAACAAAACTGCAAGGCCGATGGACTCTCAACAGATAGGAAAACAAAATGCTTCAAAGACGAAGCAGCTATGGGATCTGATACACCGACATTCGAAAACAGCTTGCCAGCAACGGCTCCTACAGTCGAGCTGACCTCGGATGCTCTTTGGTTGAATAAGACCAGCCTGGTGAACAGCGAGCTCTACTCGTCCACTTATGGCACCTATCGGATGTTCAAGAAAGCTGAGAATATGCACAGTCAATACTCGTAAGTCAATGCCTGCATACTGGCAAAAAGCTGCAATGCCTCGGCACTTACATCTACTGTTTTAGGGTCAGCCTTATTGTTATTGTTCTTGGCTTCTGCCTCGCATGTGGTATCGTGAATCAACTCACTGCCGCTGTTCCTCAAACTCGCAAGTCTGCGCAATCGTCCTGGATCTACTCGAAAATCCAGCAGTACTTGCTCCTCCCAGCTCTCGTTGGCTCTCGGCACCTGCGACCAATGTCTTTCGGCTATATTCCTGGCCGTTCGCTTAGCATCTGCATCACCATTTACATAATCCTCAACGTCGTCTTTTCCTCCGTTCAGTTCAACAGCCATCAGCCAAATATCTGGTTCTTGTCCATGGGTTTCGAAATGTGCGAATACGTTGGGAACCGAACGGGAAACCTTAGTCTTGTCAACACCGCGATTGCGATCCTCTTTGCAGGACGAAACAACTTGCTCATTGGCTTGACAGGATGGAGCCAGAACACCTTCTTGACACTACATCGCTGGAGCGCAAGAGTGGCCACTGTCCAGGCAATCGTGCATTCCATCATTTACACCATGGCCTATTGGGAGCCTGGCTATGAGGGTGCTAAGAAGTACGCCGAGCAAGCCGCAATGCCATTTTATGTAAGTGATACCCCGATCAAGCCTGTCTTGCGCAGTAGACTCATTCTTTTCACAACAGTGGTGGGGAATCATCGCTACCATCGCATATGCCTTGGCGGCTTCGTTTTCAGCCTTACCAATCCGCATGACTTATTACGACACATTCTTGGTTATACATATCGGCCTCGCTATCTTGGCTCTAGTAGGATGCTGGTACCACATTGTGCCTCATTTCGGGTTCACCTATGGCTACCAGACCTGGCTATACATGGCGTTCGCTTTCTGGTCTGCAGATCGTCTCGCTAGACTTGTTCGTCTAGGATACTACAACCTCCGAGGCTCCTCTTCGGCCGTTGTCAAAGCTGTTCCGGGTTGTGACGTGTTTGAAGTCACCGTCTTCCCAAGCGTCAGCTGGGGATTTGGACCAGGGCAGCACAGTTTCCTCTACACCCCACACATCGGAGCGGGTAAATTCTGGGAAAGCCACCCATTCAGCATCGCCAGATGGACACACGCAGGAGCGCCTCTAAAGGCCAAGCCCAGAGTCGAGTCGCTTTCCGTCGATAACGAAAAGGGGGCTGCCGTGGGAGTGAGCCCTCTCTCTAGCGCCTCATCGTCTGTAACAAATCTCCGGAACGAAGGTCGCGCAAGTGTTCAATTCCTGCTTCGAGGCAAGGGTGGCATGACATCAGCGCTACGGAATCACATGTCTTGGTACTCGTATGGCGAGAGCATGGAAGTCTCGGTACTCAACGAAGGCCCATACGGCGGCCATCGTGCAACACTACAACCCTTCCAGCTTGCCGACACTGTTTTATGTATCATCGGTGGCATTGGTATCACACACGCCTTGGGGTTCGTGCAAGAATTCATCAGCTCGAAACGAGGCATCAAGTCGCGAACCATGGGAAACGTCCAGC